AAAAAAAAAAAAAAAAAAATTCAACAGATTTGGTAAAACTGAAAAACAAACGAAACATAACAAAACAAATAGCAAAAAAAAAATTAAAAGCAAAGCAATTTACAGCATTAAAAAATCCTTTCTCTGGAACACTAAATCGTCGACTCCTTAGCTGCAATTCATCATCAGAATCCTCAAAAAACTGACTATCTGCCGACACTTTGCGCGATGCTGTTGAGTCACCGCTACTGTTATGGCCGAGTCGATATCTGCTGCTCACCTTTAACACATCATCGGTTTTCGATGCCATTAAAATCAAAAAAATTTCTTCCTCCTTTTTTCACTTTTTTTTTCAATATTCCACCAGCATTTGGTTGGGGAAGCTGGAAGAAGCAACAATAACAACCATCAAAATGAAGGCAAAAAGAGAAAACGACGACGATGGCGATGGAGTAAAAGCCGAGCAACCCAGCGAACCGAGCCTTTTGATTTGTTAACGACACAAAAAAAGGAAAAATAAAAGAGGAAAAAAGCAGAGAAGTAAAAAAATAATTTTTTTTTGTTGCTTCCCTAATATCTTTCTTTCCGATCAAACTGAATTAAGTGAAAAACAGAAAACTACTAAGCTGTTACCCGTAATTTTTGGCAGGAACCATCACCGGAATTCGAAATATAACCGTCATTTAGCGAAAATTTCTGCAAAAGGAAAAAGATATAAAATAAAAAAAATAACAGTGGTGAAATTTCTAACAAAAAAAGAATTAAAATGATTTTTTTTAGCCAAATATTATTAATATTACATGCTTTAGTAGTTTTCACAATTCAGTCTCATATTAAAAAAATCAGAAAAAAAACTAACACCAAAAATTATGAAAATTATATAATAATAAATAAAAAAGTATACATCAAAAACTCATTTATTTTTATATGACTATTCTTTTTATTTTTTTAATATAAGATACCATTATTAGTAACATTACAGCTGTCGTCAAAAACATCAACTGTATTTCCAAGAGCCGTTGTATAGCTCTTTCAATAAACTCACAGACTCACTAAAAAAAACGCAAATGGCCACTGTAACGACAAAAATACCCAATAAAACAGTGTCCAGTTGCTCAATAAACTATTCCTACCCGTCCATTGACGTTTTTTCGCCGTTTCACAAAATCCCGAAGCTCCCCAAACGGATTGTTGGAGTTTCGTCGAGATGACGCACCGCTGCCGATCGCAGAATCTGTTGAAAAGTCATGATGGTGATAGATATTCTTTGGCGATCCACCAAACGTTTCATCTATACATTCACCGAATTCTACCATCTGATTGTCATTTGCTTCTTAACTGTTTTTTTTTTACTAGCGATGGTAATGGTAGTTCTGATAGCAGAGTTACTGCTTCTGTTATTGTTGTTGGCGTTGTTGCTGGGTTTAGAATCCTCGGTTTTCCCACGCTACCGGTCCCCTCTCTCACACTCGCTCTTCCGCTCTGATATTTTCAGACATTAGGGTAAGAAAGAACATTTAAAAACGTGGTCAATTTAAATCCAGAATATTCTCTACCACTCTTGACAAAAAAATAAAAACAAACAAAACAATAAAAGAATCAAAGTCCTAATACCAAAATCGATATAACAGATAAATAAAAATCAACTCATTATATTCGACAGTGATAAGTAAAAAGTATTTTGTTATATACACATAAATATGTATAAGGGAAAAAGGAAAAGCATACGTTTTTTATGTTGTCATGCCGCTACATTTTAACGTTGACATTAGTCTAAAATGATTGTGAAAGATAGTAATTTTCATCCTTATTTTTTGTTTCCAAAGTCTTCCTCAAATTTTTCCGCCTTCCGAAGTGCTGGTTCTTGCTGTTGTCTATGTTAACGCTATCGATCTGATGGCTTTTATGCACGCAGTATTTTATGCTACTGCAATACAAAGATTATTGCTTGAAAAGTTATTTTGATGATGACAATGAAACGTTTATCCAAAACAGAAAAAGAAAGTAAAAATATCGTTTTTTTAGCTACTGTAATTCTTTAAGTGCAGCAATAATCCGCTACTAATTAACTTTCTTCCCTTCTTTTCCGTACTTTTTTTTGCTTTTCCTTTTTCCCTTTACATTAAACTTTTAGAATTCGTTTAATCCACATAATATTCGTAACAGTTGCAACAGTCAGTTACAAACAGCAACAACAGACAACGAGGACTTAATGTTAGTGAAGAATAATTAACGTCAAAATAGTCGATAAAAACAAACAAAAAAAAAGCATGTTAAATTTAGTGCAAAAAACTTCTTATACGATTCTGCAATTCCGTATACGATTAAAAAAGAAATGGAATGTAAATAAACATTGTACCGCCGGTTAGTTAATAATAGATAAAACTTTTTTCACCTAAACTTCATATAAGCCTCTTCTTTTTTAAACCTTTTTGAAGTGTTAGACTGTTGTATCCAAAATGGTTCTTTTTGAAAAAGTTTATAGCAATAACTTTTTAAATAAGGAATAGATTTGGTAACATTAAAAAACATATAATTTTCACCTTTCATTTTCAATCAACTTTTCTTAAACCACCTGAGAGATTTCCTTTTGCAAAATCTTCCGTACTAAAGTATGCAAAACGACTGAATGTTTCCAACTCTAATAGATAAATGCAAAAATGGAATGCTTGTGTTGGATGCTTATCAATAAGTGCTCAGCGCGGAATAGGAAAGCCCGTTCCTGCGCTGTACAAAAGCATTTGCATGGTGAATTCCGGGAAGGAAGTTTTGAATCAGAAAAACAACAAGATAAGAATTCTATTTTATCTCAAATAACCTAGCTCTTAAGAGCTTCATAAAGAGTAAACCAAAAAACGTCTGTCTCATAGTTAAAAATATCGAGTAACGCAATTAATGAACACCTGAAAAAGACTGTAGTGGTGAAAAAGTTAAGTCAATAAATACTGCCTAAACTGAGGAATAAACAAAAGAAAATCAGAGCAACTGTGTGCAAACTTGTAAAGTTACCACTAAAAATGCTTCTTTTAATACAACTTATTATAAATTACAGTAAAAAATGTTGTCTGCATGATAATCGAAAATGACCAACAATGAAACAAGGAAAACCTGTCATACCAAAAAAGCACCCAAAACCAGACCTGCATCCAAAAAAGGTCATGCAGTCGGATTAGTGATATAATAACAAAATTACATCATAGCTACATAAAATGTTAATTCTGTACCTAACTGATGTAGTGAAATTTAAACTAGAGTAGAGAGTCTGAAAAAAATGCGCCCTACATTACCACATCAAAAAAGAGCATTCATTCTTCAAAATGATGCTTAACTCCGCACGCTGCTGAAGCAGGCAAAACCGACCAGTTAAACACGGAGTCCTTAACTCATCCTTCGTTGTCGTCAACCCCAAGCCGCGCAGATTACAAGCTGTTTCCAATTGTTGACTTCTTTATAAGAGAGGAAAAGCACTGTAACCGAATTATACTCAAAAATACTTTCATATCTTTTATCAATTTTGAAACGTTTAAGAAAATTCGCTATAACGTTCATTTCATTTAACACAGTTTATTAAGAGCTGAGGTGAAATGCATAAGAAATCTGATGCAGAAGAGATCATTTTAAACACAACAGCCTTCTAGGTGGAAACTGAATTAGCAAATGATGGTGATAACAATACAAAAAAAAAAAAGAATTTTTGTCTATTCATATACCGTACAATAAAAGAAAAAAAGTTTAGCAGTAGTTAATTAAATGTAAAAAAATTATTATAACACAGCAAAAAAAATTTTATATTATATGAATTACTTCTTTTTTTGTCTGAAAAATAGTGGCAAAACAGTCCAAAATTTACCAGTGCATTAAAACTTTAATTACTTAGCTTCATAAACATCATCTTAGATCAGTAAATGCTTCAGCAGAGTAATAGACTACTAGTACGAAAAAAAAAAAGAAAAAACCCAACCAATCGAAAATAATAATAGTAATAAAGCTAAGAATTGGCAGAATAGAGTTTAAAAAATAATATATTGTTGTCATCATCATCATCAACCTCTTTGGCATCAGCAGCGATGTTAGCAGTGCCAATAGCTAAGCGGTAAAAAAAAAAAGAACTAAACAGAGTGTACAAATTCAATAAAAAAATTCATAATGTCTAGAAAAAGCAAAAATTTCAAGCAACAAACACCCGAAAGTAACATTGACAGTTGAAAAAGTTTTTTTTTTCTTTTTTGCACTCTCATATTACAATGTAAACTGTGTCTGTGTGTATTATTGCAATTTCAAAAATAACTTTGACTTTTGGCAAATAAAACGAACAATAAATTGTCATCGCACAGAATCTGTGGTTACTGAACATTAGTAATAATAATAATAACAATAATAATAATAATAATAAT